GTGTTATCTGGTTTCATCTTGGATAAAAACCAGAGTCGTTGGTTGTGGCTCAGGAGGAACAGCAAGTCTTCTACTAACTGTTTCTTTCCTGGATCCTTAAGCAACACAGATATCGTCCACACGACTGCAGCTGTGGTCAGTGGATGTGGATAATTAATGGATCCTGCCCTCTGCATCACTCATCGGACATGGAGCTGAAAACTTTCTCTGACATCTCTTTCAGATTTGCTATCACAAGACCAGATACAGAATATCTTTACCACTGTATACCAACACATCTGCAATCATTTTAGACTTAGTCTAGTCATCCTATCATATTTCACTTTACATACATATTTACTGATGACTTTACTTGTATTTCTTATGTAGCTGAGCTCCTTCTTTGATGGGATTTCTACACTAAAGAGGTCCAGGTCATTTTGTTCTATGACATATTTTATTGAGGTAGATTGATTTTCACGCAAAATATTATTTTATGCAGATAAAATCCAACATTATTATATTATATATTGACCAACGGAATATATTGACCAATCAACACGTTACTCTGAAGACTGTAACGTGGCTTAAATATTAAAAAAAAAGGTAAAAACTATCAATAGAAGACTTTTTATAATTCACCAGCTATTTGGTCTTTACTTCTTCAGTCACTACATTATGTGGGATTTAAACAGATGTACGTTTTGGTTATGCGTCCTACTTTAAATGGAAAACCCCTGTAGTCTCCTGGTACTGCTGGGATTGGCATTTGGTACTTTTGTTTTCATTAGCTTGTATAGAACTAACTGAACAAAATAACTCAAAGATGTTATTAATCAAATATGACTGTTCTAAACTTAACTCTCTAGTTTAAATTGTCACATATTATTAGTTTTCAAAGTAAAATTTGTTGAAAAAGATTGTAGAACATTTGGTTTCAAACAATCTCCAATAATAAAGTTACATTTTCCAATAATCTGTCCTCGATTTGAACACCAGAAAGATTGCAGCTACGGATCACGAGCCAACGGATGCCCGCAAGTCTTTTCCCTGTTTTGATGAACCTAACAAGAAAGCCACCTACACCGTCTCAATAACCCATGATGTTAATTACAACGTACTGTCCAACATGCCAGTAGAGGTAAGTCAGCATGTGTGTTTACCATCACAATAGACTTTATGTGCTGTATTCAAATTGGAAACAATTGGTATTTGTGTAAAAGTACAGTGAGTAAAAGTTGTAGAAAAAGTAAACATGCCTGAAAATGCAAAACAATGAGTGGTAAATTTAGGTAATCTCAGTTTCACTGAACGCGCTCCTGTGATTGGCTGGCACATCATGGGTGGGGGTTGTTGTCCAGCGTTATATTTATCTTGGACAATATCAGCCTGATGGATGTTGTCCCAGCATGCAACAGCATCCACACTCGCCACAAATGACTCGTAGAAAATCCTAAGCATTGTCCAACAGATGTTGAAAGACCTCAGCTGCCTTGTGAAATAGAGACAGCTCTGGCCCTAACTGTAGAGTTCATTAGTAGTCAAGCATGAACAGAGGAAAACGGATTTTTTTTTTAAAAAATCGCAATGATTTACTGTAATTTGATACATTTTTAAACCTTATAATGTTTTAACAATATTTACCAATTTTCCAGTAGATTTCTATGCATTTTAGTATTTATTTTTTTTTTTTTCCCTGTCCCATTTGGTTCTTTAGCATCAGAATTGTTGTCTGAAGACCAACAAGGATACCCAATGGATTTATTTTGCCAAATGGATCATCATGGCATTGCCGTATTGGTCCATTTGATCGACCTTTGTTTTTATTATTTATTTTATTTTATTTTCAGTTGTTACAGACGGGACAGACATGAGTGAGGGATAGGAAAGGGAGAAAGAAAGAGGAAGGAAAAGAAAAACAGAAGGGGAGAGGGACAGTGAGAAAGGGGAAAAAATATCTCCTGGATCACCTGTTGAGAGAAAAGAATAGAAAACAAGCAAAAAAATCCCAAAGCAACATACTAAAAACAACACCATCGCATTAATCTAGCTAAGTGTAAACAGCAGTAAATACTAAATATTGAATGTTGTTGTGCATTTTAGTATTTTCAAGGTCAACAACTGTTTTGGTGTTAAGCACTTTACATGCCAGTTGTTTAATAGGGAGGAAGCAAGAAAATCCTCTCACTTAAGCTAGCTGTGTCTATATGCATTATCATCCTTTGCACCCATTAGCATAACATCGTCTATCTTAGCATGTGATAAAAAAGTTCAGTTGGTGTGGTGGTGAGTGATTTAGGTTGACATTTACCATCTAACTGAGTGTAGTGTAAACCTTATTCTTTGTACACCTGTCACAGATGACAGTTACACAGTCAAGGTCATGTTTATCAGTTCCTGCAACAGGACGATCTCATCTCAAAGCACAACTGTTGAGATGGTGCTCTTCCTGTCATAATAGGGCAGAAAATCCAAATAAATTTTTGCTGCCTATCTCCAGGGCTCCCCTCAGCAACTACCAGGCAATAAAATTAAAACCACCTTTCAGAAGTCTGTTCCAATGAGCACCTATTTGGTATGTTTTGCTGTGCACCAGTTTGCCTACGTAGAGAGAACTTCAGCCAGAGGGATTCCTGTGAGTTTACATTTATATGCCACTAATGCAGAGTATTGATAAGATTCATTCATTCACACTGTTGGATTTATCCTGTCACACACTTATTTGTATTTTTCATTCTTTTGCAGTTGAAAATCTGGGCCCAGCCAAGTCAGATCAGCACAGCTTTGTATGCAGTAAATGTAACCAAGCTCATTTTTGACTACTTTGAGGAATATTTCAACATGACATACTCCATCTCAAAATTGGGTAAATGGAACACTAACCAACTTCTGTGATATGAAACAAAAAACAACAACAAAAATCTGCCTCTGAGCCCAAGGCGGGTGGTATGTGTGTTAGCCTAATAATCCCGGGACCACTTTGGATAAATCCTTCCACATGGATTTGGTGCTTGGGGCCTGTTCTTATGCTGCCATGAGCAGAGGCTGAGTGCTGTCCTTATGATGCCATCCTCTTCCTCTGTCCCTCGATAGTGTAAACCCATGATGTCTTGACATGATTGGCAGATGCTTATTATTCCATCTGGGTATCTAATGACTGATAGGGTGTATGTATTGATGGTTTGGATCTTATCAATACTGTTCTGGCTTCTCAGCTCCCTTCTTCGTTATTTGGCTGATATTGACCTTCATGCCTTTTTATCATGGTTCCTGTTGACCTGTGGAATACCTAGGTACTTGTATACAGTGGGTAAAATAAGGATTGAACATGTCACTAGTGTTATAAGAAAATATATTTCTAAAGGTGCTATTAATATGAAATTCTCACCAGTCCGTAAAAACCCATCCAATCTAGACAAAGAAATCAAGCCATAGATGTTCACAAATAAAGTATGATAAAGAGAAACGACACAAGGAAAAAGCATTGAAATGTATTTATTACTTAATTTAATAACTTTTGTTGATGATGATGGCTTCAAGACACCTCGTATATGGAGAAACTAGCTGCATGCATTGCTCAGATGTAATTTTGGCCTATTTATTCACACAAACAGTTTTCAAATCCTGAAGGCTCCACCGTCTATGTGCTCTGAGATTTAGTTCATTCCATAGATTTTTACTTGGATTCGGGTCAGGTCATTAGCTGGGTCATGCTAGCAGCTTTCTTTTCTTTCTCTGAAACCAACTAACACAGGGGTCGGCAACCTGCGGCTCTTTAGTCCTGATACTGCGGCTCCGCGTGGTTTGGGAAAATAAATTAAAGTATTTAGCTGAAGTGTATTTTATTTATGTTAGTTCTTTTTTAACTTGTTCTAAATTGTTAGATAATTGTGATATTGAAATATAAAAAATAAAATTATATTTTATTATTTTTTCATCGCTCAAAATAAGCGTCACACTCATGGAAGCCGGTATACGCGCCAAAACACCGTGCATTTATCGATCTTTCAACCCCAGGTAGGTCAATTATGGATCTTCGGATCCACATTATGTCAGCAGCTGTTCTTCACTGTGAACTATGTTAAAACAAACACGCTCACGCCTCACAGACGACAGCTTACAGTCCTGCGTAAAGATGAAAGTGACTTCGCACAGCCCCGATTTGCAGACGCTGTGCGCAGAGGTTCAGGAGCAGAAGTCCCATTGTAAACATATCACGGCAGACCCAACGATGTTTGCATGACAATGTTTCTTTATTGACCACTTCTCACACACGGTTGCTGTACGCACACAGCTGGCTGTAGCTTTGCAGCTCACAGCCCGACACACACCAACACAACAGCAGAGAGAGCACAGACGTTAAGGCGTTGTTAGATGTCTGTCTTTGTGATGTTGACTGGTTCTTGTTCTGGGAGGTTGTTGTGGTCTGCTGTCCACTTGGTGTTGGTGTCGTGTGTTGCCGTCTGTTTTCGGGATATTCTTACAGAATTGTTCTGTTTGAGCTCTGTGTGAGTCAGCCCTCATAACGTTCTTCCCTTGTAGTTGAGAGTATACCTCGGATGGATCTTTGGAGAACAGGCAATTTATTCTGTTGGCCAATGTTTCCTTGCTGTATCTCTTTAGCCTACTGGCCAGAGCTGTGAGACTTTTATCAGAAACTCAGCTGGAATAATAATATGGCAGCAGGAGGAGATAGATGCCACTGATGGCAAGACATGAAAACACCCTACAGTGCACACAGAGTCCCACTTGAAGCTTAACACCCTAAAGCTCCATGTGGAACGAGGAAGGGTGAGAATTAGTGAGCATGAAAGCCACAATCCAGGATGAAATATGGGGCATACAGAGGTCAGAGTTTGAGGAAAAACACACACATACCAGCCTTCAGTGGGAGAGAGGGAGATTTTTTAAAATTTGTTTTAACTCTGTCTCTCTGTGTTTTTTAAAATACAAATCCCCCTCTCGCCCCTGCTGGGTTTTTTATAACATCTCGGATGTTGCTCCTGGGATCTGCTGGGGCCACTCGCCTAGCTTGGGGGTCACTGCACAGAGCGCTCTGTGTACCACTGGGACCGCCGTTACCTTCACTCTCCACATCTTCTCAAGTTCTTCTCTGAGCCATTGGTATTTCTGTAGCTTCTTGTGTTCCTGATGTTGCTGTCATTCAGTATTGCTACCTTCTTCTGTTTGTCTAACACCACTATGTCTGGTTGGTTAGCCATCACCATTT